GTGAATTTAGTGATGACCAATCATGACGAAGTAGAATCTTAACAAAACTATACACTTCTTCGGCGCTTATCTAGATCTTTATGGTATTATCCTTTCACCAATCTACACATCGTCTCAGCCACTTTGACTTGAACTAGAATTCTAAATCTAGTCCTCTTATGTGTTTGATTCACTTCTTATCTAATCAGTCACAATTCTTGATTGTTGGAATAATTTGAATCTTATCAAAACCTATTATGATCCTTCTCAATTTCAAGTCAATTAGGACTCAGCCGAATCCTTCCACAATCCGATCCTAAAGAATCCTACTTCTATTAGGACTTAGTCAAGTTTTTCCATGGGCTGAACATCATTTGGCCTAAGAAATAACTATTAGGCCGAGAATTACGATCTTTCAACCTAAGTCATCTCTCTTCGGCCCGAACCTAATATTTTAGGCCCAAACTGTGTGATTAATCTTACTATGATCAGTATACAAGGACAAACACATTTAAGGGTTGTATCCATCCATCACAATGAAATATTGGATAGAGTGCAAGTGCTTTTTTTATATCGCTTGCATAGAAATTACGTAAGTTAAATATTCGGATAGGTCCTTCCATACAACCAAGATTCAGTTCAAGTAGCATCACAAATGTATAGTTTAAACCTAAGAGTAAAAAGACACAAAAATCCTCAAATACTATTTCCGATAGGGGTGGGTTTGGTTTGAATCGGTTTGCTTTTTTGCCAAAACCGAAACCAAACTGAATTTTTGGTTTGGTTCAACTTTTTTTTCTGTTTTTTTTTGGTACAGTTTCGGTTTTTTTATTTTTTTATCTTTTGTCCGTTCATGTAGAAATCATACACAAAACAAACTGCAAGTCAAAACCTGTATAAAACCAAATTAAAGTCAAACCTCCAATGGCATGCAACACAAAGTAAATATAATCAAAACAAGTTGGAAGAAATTTCAACCTGAATCAAGTTAATGACAAACAAAATAGCAAAAACGCAACAAACAAATATGAGAAATATGGAAAACCCCAAAATATGAACAATATGCAAAACCCCAACAAAATAATTATAAGAAAAATCGATTTTAATTCAGGAAAACCACATTATAAATGACATACCCTAACCTAAATCGAGGCATGCTGGCCATCACGTGAGGGTGACGTAGCCATGTGAGTAGTGCAGAAGAATAAGATATAAGGAAATACGAATAAATAAAAACCAAACCAACTAGAGCACTAGCTAAGATAAGATAAGTGTGACTACACATAACTAGAGCGTAGGTAGCCTAAGTGCAGTCTAGCAGGACGAATACTAATTATACAATACCAAAGATGGTCCTACATTTGTGATGATTTGTCAGAACCACAATCAATTCCTCGTGAGCCACCAACGAGTACTCCTACCTAAAACCTGGAGGGGCACAAAACAGAAAGTGTGAGTGGGCAAAAACAAAGTTTTTCAAAACCATTTCACTTATCAAAAGTAGTAACCCTTCGCCGTAAAACCTGTATAATTCCATAAAATAGCATATATATTTATATCTCAAAACCAAATTCGAAATAACAATTCCACAAATATACCGTGTCAAATCTCAACAAGAAATAAGTAAGCCAGGTGAAATAAACTAATATGAAATGGTAAGCCAGCCGGAGTCACCTAACATGACCTGTACGGTTGGATTTATAACTCATAAACTAGTTCTCTGCACACAAGTCAGAACCACCTAAAGTGGTCTATATGACAAGCTGGGTGTAAATAAATACGCTCAAGTGCTATGGTCATGTGAAGGCTTTGCGAAGTATCGCAAGTTACCTACGAGTCGGAACCACCTAAAGTGCTATGTATGACAGGCTGGCACCTGCCTTGGATCCAAGGTGAGTGTGTGGTGCGGGAGGTGAACGATCACGTGAAGGCTAGGCCCTGTCCTCAGGCGGAGCACTAACATCGGGGTGCAGGATAATAAGCTAGAAATATATCTCAGCACTAATGTACTCACTACCATCACTACCATCAATATACTCACCTGAAGCTTACTTGAGCGTCCATAGCGTCTAGTAACAATACATATGTAACCATAATAATGCACAATTAAACATAGAAAGCATTTGACATGGTATTTCAAAGTATCAAACCATTTAATTAATTTTTCTGGGAAAAATACCATATATATATATATATACACACACACACATACCAAAAGGCCACTCACTGATATGTGGAAGGGTCGTAACCCCCGAGCCTTGCTGGACTGCGCACGTCCTCAGGATAGGTCTCATCTATATGCGAAACAACTATTTAAACATTATTTTTAAGCCCATAAACAAAACTAGCTAATAGCTTCTCATACATTGCTCAATTGGGGTATTTGAATATACCATTGTGGCCTACTCAACCCTACGAACATCCCCATATTTTTAGAAAAATTTTCCGACATCCCACGCGCCCTCACACGTTGGCCAAGGCACGGCCAGACGCGCCACCCACATACAGGCACGTGCCTGGCACACTGATAGATTCCCTAATGGCATTAGGGAATATTCTATTAAATAAAAGCATATGCCGTTATTTTTACCTGACGTCGTTAGTCGTAGTTAGGAATATTCCGTCAAAGTTGACGGAATATTCATCTTCTTCTCTGGTGAGTCACCGGAAACTGGGAAAAACTTCAAACCATCATTTCTCACTCATTTTAACACCAAAATCCATGAAATTTATATCAAAATGAAGCTTAGGACTAGAGGAACACTTCCTTACCACTTTGGGGACCTAAAACCAACGGAATCTCGTCGGGAAAACTTCGCTACTCCGGCCACCTCTGCAACTCCACGAACTTGGACTTCCCGACTTCCAAAACCTTTCAAAATCTTTCCCTAAGCTTCGTGAAGAAGTTCTAAGGCTCCCTAACACCTCCAAACTCGACAAAACCTCCTCGATCACGATGGATGAACAGTGCACCTCATCGGGGTTTTCGGGTTCTCGAGTAATTGAAGTCTTCACGTCCAACTAACTATATGGATGAGCTCCTAGGCTCACAAGGAACACAAAGACAACCTTCTTGACGTCGATCCGTGCACAAAGGGTAAGTTTGAGAGTTGTCCCTACAGTTGTACGGAATATGGATGAAAGTCGAGAGAGAAGAGAGAGAGTCAACGGGAGTGTGAAGGTGTGTGTGGGGTCCAGCTTTGGGCTACCAACAAAAACAAATAAAACTAAAATCTAATTGGTCCAATTACTTAGGAAAAAAATGGATTAGTCCAAATCCATAGCCCATTTACACATACACAACTCAACGCTCAAGGGCAAAATCATCATTTCCACGCTATCGAGGACAAACTAATATATACATTTGGGACCAGCTGTCACAATAAATCACATTCATTTTGATTTGAAAATTACCCGTGAGAGATTAGAAAATCTGGATTAGAATCTTCCAATTTGGAGGGGGTTCCGATTCGAAAGGGCGAGGAAAAATCATGGTTTGGAAGAAGTAATCCGTGAGGAGGACAAGAGAAAACTGGAGAGAGAGTGATTTGGAGGAAGAGAGGAAGAAATGAGAGAGAGACTGAGAAAGCAAAGAGGAAGAAAGTAGAGGAGGGGAGAGAGAGAGTTTGAGAATACCAAGAGGTGAAATGGGAGTGACAACTTGGGTTTATAAACTTTAGAAATTTTATAAAGCATTAAAGATTAGAATACATATAAATAACTTACTCGTACAATTATAGCAACACAAAACCTGCAATCAAGTTGGCTTGAAGCAACTATTTGCAATTGGAAGGAAGGGGTTCGAATCCACATGCGGTTTTGAGTATTTATATATATGATTTTTATATATCGGTTCAGGTTTGGTTTCCTTGGTTCGATTGGTTTATTTTTCATTTCAAATTCTTCTTCCTCATCTGTCTCCAACCGCCGACACCTCCTTTGAATCCACTAATACCACCAACCAATACAAAATCCACACGCATGAAAAATATAGGGCAATTTGGTCAAAAGAAAAAAAAATATAGAACAATTGGCTAAAATGATTTAAAACTCAATATTTTGATTGTCAAACAAATTAGACGTTTTTATACTACAACGATAGATTTGCACCTCTTGGTGTGCGAATAAGTTAGTATCGAACCCTTCTGTAGAATCATAAAAACAGTAAATTTCCCAAAAATAAACACTCTTAGGCGGCTCCTAAGCGTACATGGCAAAGGTTTAGTGGTCTACATCTTTTTTATGGTCTGTTGCATCAAAGTGCTACTTTATATTATCGGTTAAGGTGGTCATTTTCATACACTATCTTATACCTTTGGCACACCTTTTTAATTGTTAATAGTTTTCAACATTGTGTATGGTAAAATGGATGTAGGAAATCACGGACTGGGATCACCTCCGGATCCAACTGATCAGAGGATCCCAGCCTTCCAATTTCATCTTTTCCTTGTTTAACATTTAAATTTATTCCTGGCAACATGATAAAATGGACGGATTAGATTTTTTGATCAGTTGGTTCCGCAGGCTAAGATCTAAAGGTGATCCTAGTTCGGAAATCACTACCCTTAGTTTAATGTTTCCTTTGGTCGAATATTAATATGGATAATGCTTTTGTTATCATAACGAATATTTTCCTTCCAAATATCATAATGGAGCCTTTCAACGATTTTGATAACAAATGATATCCTCATGATGAACAGTTTATTTGTTTTATACATATGAATGACTAAAAGATTTTCAAGTTGAATTATATTTTGCATATATGACTTTTAGATGATGATAAAGAAAATACACGATTTCACTTATGGTATTTGGATGGTAAAGATTTGTTATCTATAATTGAATGATAAAGTAGGTTTCCTTGAAAAAAACACAAGCATTACCTTATTTATATTTGTCATCTCCTAAAAAAGAACAAAATAAATAAAAAAATAAAAAAGTAAAGAAACAATACCCACTGAGATACAGAAGAAAGAATGTAGTGAGAAAAAAAAGAAATAAATAGATCCCTTATACTTCTCCCATCACTGTCCTCTCTCTCTCTCAATCTGTTTGGCTTTGTCTCTTCGTTCTTATTTTCTCTTCCTTCTTTGCTTTCTCCTCAGCAAAGAAGAGAAGAGAGGACAGGAGACGACCAAACAACAAAAACCCACCTGCCGCCGCCTGAGCAACATAAATACCCGCTTATGTGAAAAATTTTGAAGCTTTTTTTTTTTTTTCGCTTGGTTTAACTTTTAAGGCTTGGAAGGCAATTAGGTGTCCTTGTTTATCAATTTTGTTGGTGAAGAATTTGATGTTGGTGAAGAACCAAGATGATTGTGGCAAGCAGTTTTGATCTTTGGAAAAAAGACGTCTTCTTTCCAGCAGCTGAGGAGGTCCAAGAATCAGCTGACATGTATGTTCATGTTTTCCTTTTCTTTTCTTTTTTTCTTCTAATTTTTTTTTTACTTTATTGATAATTTGTTATCATGCCGGTTGAGCTGCTTTGATTGGTTTCTGTGTTTATTTAGACTATGTTATTGGAATTTGGATATGGGTTTATTGAATTATGTTTTTGTGGAATTTTTTTGATGTGAAATATGCATCAGTTGTTTTCTGTTGTATGTTTGATAGTGCTTAGATTTTGTAGTTTGTTGGAGAATTTTCAATTGGGTTGTTATGCTGGTTTTTGAGTATTGTCATTGGGATTCTAGGTTGTGTGTTTCTCTCCCTTTTTCCCACTTTTTTTAAGTTTTGATGATGTGCCTGATGTATATTTTGGGTTGAATTTGAACATCTATATAGGTTTATGATAAGTAATCTCTCATGGTGGTTTGGAAATGATAATTTTTTTTACGGATATAGCTTCTGTGTGCTGTAATCGTGTCCGTTAGCATGATTTTACCCTTCATTTGGATGATAAGAAAAAGTATGCTCAACTGTACTGGGAATGGGGAAAGAGAAATTGTTTTGTATTCTAATCATTAAGTAAATGCTCTCATGATGTTGGATGACTTTGTGAGTCAGTCATGTTTGGTAATTGCACTGTGGAGATAATGGTAGACGGTAGACCGCCCTATATCCCAGGGATAGGTGAACTATAATCAAAAGGTCACTTTCTTCCCGGCCTAAAGAAAAATGCCATTTTCTTCCAGTTTAGAATTTGAATTGTTATTCTACCAATTGTCAACTCCTTATGTTGAGTAATCAGTGATTACAGGGATTTAGTGGTATTATGCTGCTATTCCCTCTAAGTTTTTGCAAAGATTGAAGGGAGCTGATTCTCGTTTTCGAATACTTGGAAACTATCACCATCTAGATATTTGTTTGTTTTTTTTTTTTTTGAGTACATCGATATTTTTACACTAAGGGAAGGGGGAGTTCGGCTAAGCCATACAATGGGCAGCCTACTTTGGTATCAAATTTGTCATCCACGAGATTCGAACCTAAGACCTCTCACTTCAAAGTGAAGAGGAATACCACCAGACCGTTATACAGAGTGGCATATTTGTTTCTTTTTAGAAAGCTCAATAAAATTGGTACTCAGAATAATTATTCTCTACCTCTCCCTTTTATTTTCTGTTTATTTTCTTTTCCAGAATGGAATCTACATACAGGGCATGGGTTCGACAGAGGAGTGAAAGGCTAGCACCAGAACATTTGGATGAACTCTGTAGGGAGCTGCAAACCGCTTTGGGTACTGCCAAATGGCAGGTACGTCTCTTGTCCCACTTTAGCTATCTCCCTTTCTTCCTCTCTTATTTATTCACTGTACACAAATCTTATCAGAATTTATGAGTGTATCAATACTATCCTGGTGTTTGTTAATAAAGTTGAGCAAGGAAGAATCCAATTTAGAAAAAATTTCCATCGATTCCAAAAGAAAGTAAAAAAACTCATCTCAGCTTTAACGTCAATCTCTGTTAGCATTTCAATCTTGATTTGGATTGTTAGATATTAATACCAATTGAAATCAGAGAAATTTTAATTTTTGATTTTTTTTATTTTTATGTAAATGGTTAGCCCTATTGCACTTTTTCTAACTGTATCTGTCATGTTGAATGGTCAATGTGTTTTAGTTGGAAGAGTTTGAGAAGGCTGTCAGGTTGAGCTATGGACAATGTGGTGATGATCATACAGCAGCTAGACATGGACAATTTCTTGCTGCTATTGAAAACCAAATTTCTCGTGTTGAAACAACACTAAGGGAATCATTTAGTATGGAAGGAAAGAAACCCCTTCAATGGGTACACATGGATGAAGAAGAACAAGATGATTTTGCTGCATTTCTCTTTGGGACATCCCAAAGTAAGCAAACTGCCAAAAATGAACGTGTAGAACTCAGGCATTGGGTGAAAAGCTCCGAGGAAAGTGACATTACAAGAAAAGACAGGAACCTTAAATATGGTGCTGCCTGCAATGGAGACATTTCTGATGAAATAAAGGGTGTTAAAGATGTTATTACTATTCCAAGGATCCAAATTTTGTCATGGAATTGAAAGGAAAAGAAATCGCAGAAATGAAGGATGATAAAATTTATACAAGGAAGACATGCAGTTCACCAAATTACAGGGAGCTGAGGATCGTAATAGCAGATGAAGTTGAACAGAGAAAAAATCTAATTCCAGGGTATGAGGATACACCCAAAGAAAAAGGATTCAAACTTGTCTTCGGGAAGCAAAGGTTGCATCAGGCAACTAAAGCAATTAATTTGTTCAACCAGGTCAGATTATTACGTACTTGAAAGGCAGAGTTGATTATAACAATTGATTATAAGGCAATAAATATTTCACATGCAAGGAGAAGGAAAAGAACAAGCTTGGTTTTAGTTCTATTCATCCTCTCTCCTCTGCTTTCTTTCAGCTGATAGATTTTTGCATTTGTTTATTATTATTTTGATTTTTTGAAAAATGAACTTAAAGATTGTCTTCTGCAGATGTACAGTCGAGTTGGTGCATCTCAGAAGCAATTGCAAAGCCCACGGAAGCAATGGCAAGCACCTCCACGCCTGAACAATCGTTGTTCAGTTCAAGTTACCCTTGGTTTAATGCTCACTGTTTTTCTACTTGGTAAGCTTTTGATTTGCTTGAACGTATTTCAAACATCAAGAAGTCAATATGCTGTATGCTAAACTTAAAATGGTCTTCAGTACTTTCCAAACCATTTAATCAATTGCTTCACAATGTAGTCTCTCAGTCTGTATTTAAATGAAATAGTTTAAGATATTAGCTATAAACTGAGTCAACTGCTGTAAACATTTGAGGAAGCCATATCAGACTTAGGAGATAATATTCATGTTTCAAACTTGTGAGATTTCATTCCATAAAGTGTGCAGTCCTCCTAAGTGTCAAACAGATCAGAGTTTTGTAATGAAGACTTGATTGCGGGAGAACTGTTTGGGGATTATTGTAATTTGTATCTGCTGGCAATTTTTAGTCGGAAAGTCTTTTAACAGCAGCTAGAATATTGTTTCTGGCCTAGCTTATATCGACATATAATAAGATTTTATGACATCTAGCGCCTACATACTTTTGCAATTAACAACGCATGCTAAGATCATGCCTGCTTCACTTGCATTCTTGCATCTGTTATTGCAGTTAATCATAGAGGATATGGGCTTGCAATTATTTAAATATTAATTTCTGGAAGTGCTAATACTTGTAGATGTATAAAACTGTGCTTATGAAGAGTTCTCTTTTTGCAGTACCGTTTGTATTTTATTCAAGTTAAGAAAAAGTGGTAAATACATTGCACCTGATCAGGATGAAGACCGAAAGGTAGTTTTATTGCTTTGACACTAATATTTATCTTATAAATTTTGGAGATTCGTTGGATTTGCTTCACGATTATTAGTTTGATAGTTAGTTAGAACTTTGAAATCATTCTGATTGTTGTCTATTCAGTGATGGTCAAGTTGGTCTTTGGATTTGATCATCGTTGGCCCAAAGAGGATGAAGGAGATTTCAGCCACCCTCCGTTGGCCTCTTCTATGTAAAACATTCACATCCCTCATCCCAAACATGAACAAGAACAAGTGGGGTCGGCTGTATGAATTCTAGAATGCCACTGCACGGTTTTGAGTGGGGTCGGCTGTATGAATTCTAGAACGCCACTGCGCGGTTTTGCGCGATGTCTTCCATAATTCCCATTAGCTCCAAATACTCCATATCTTTTCTTAAAGTCTCTTTCTAAGCATTCCTAGGTCTTCCTCTACGCCTTTTACACTCAGCGTCCATCTCGTAACCAGAGCATTTGTAGTCTGCTGTTCACATGTCCAAACTACTTTAACCGATTTTCTCTCATCTTATCTTCAATTGCAGCCACTTCTAATTTACCTCGGATTTCCTCGTTCTTAATCCTGTCTTCTCGTGTGCCCTCATATCTTTTCAAGCATTCTCATCTTCGTTACACTTATTTTTTGCACGTGTTGATTTTTACCACCCAACATTTCATGCCATAAAGCATTTTTGGCCTTATTGCCGTTCCATAAAATTTTCCCAGAGCTTTAGTAGGAATGACTATTGCACAACACGCCCTATGCACGCTTCCACGTCATCCATCCAGCTTGTATTCTATGGTTGATATCTCCATCTAATTCTCTGTTCTTTTGCAAGGTAGATCCAACATAGCGAAAACGTTCACTCTTTGGTATTTCATTCTATCCAGTCCTCACTCCTTTCTCATTTGGACCTCCATTCGCACTAAACTTGGCCACCATATACTCTGTCTTTAACATATTTAGGCGAAGACCTTTAGATTCCAACACTTTCCACACATGTTATTGGTAAATAAAAATCGTAGCTCGAGCCTTTTATTTTGTTGGAATGACTTCACTTGGGTCAACTACTAAACATTTCCATGGTTTTTTGTCTGTAGGTATTGAAGCTGTTTCTAAGGTGATGAGCCGGAAAAGGGAATGCTTGTGACTAGCATCGCGTCGATGGCTTTTAGGGCTTTAGACGAATATGCCAAGCTACCCTTTTTTTGGAGCATTAAACGTGTATGTGCATTCAGATAGCTTTTAAAACATAAGAAAAATATTTGGAAATGTAAACATTCTACGGCCCCCATTAAGTTTGAAACTTGAATTATGATGGCAATCGTGATACGGTTAGGTGTGAAGACTCAAAATCCAAGTCGAAGTTGTAGGATGAGGATCCTCTCCAGATTCTTTTTGTGAGGATCTGAGGATCAATTCTTTTTAGCCATTTGTCGTACATCATGCGGTCAGCTTTCATTAGGTACTGTTTGTGTTCAATTTTAAATAAAAATTCAATATAATTTCTAGCTGCAGGATGACTGATGAACGGATATGATGAATTGATTCATAGGATACTCACAAAGAGGATCCAAATAGGATACTCACCTGAAGTTGTACATCCCCATTTGCTTTTACTGTAAAGTGCTTTTTAGGGGTGATTGATTCACACGAAACGAATGATGAAAGGATTCATTCATTTCTATACCAACATTTTGGTGAGAGAGTGGGATGATGGTGAGATGTTGTGGGAATTACCTTACAATTCAGCTCCCACATGGGATGAGAATCACGGTATTCTGGGATTGATATGGGACTCGTATAAATTTTATTTTGTGGAAGAGCTATATGGACTGAAAAAGATGTTTCTATAGCAATTTTCCTAGCCAACTAGTTATCCTAGTGACTTCTCTTACCAATGTTCGATGAGGTCTCTAGATCCAATTATGCACTTCATTGACGAAAAAAAAGCTTTCCTAGCTCGTATCTTTAGCAAGGTTCTACAAGATGCTAGGCGCTAGTCGAGCAACAGGTTGGGGCCTAGTGCCTAGGTGACTAGGCGGCTAGGCGGGGTCTAGGCGGACGCCTAGGTGGACTAGGTGGATTTAAGTAAATCCATTATATTTCGTGTGAATAAGTGTTTGTTTATACTTAAAATATATATAATTTCATCATAAATTACAAAATAGAATTACTTATGTATTATAAAGTATTAGAACCTAATGAAAATATGGAGAGCAAGCATATAGTGTGTGTTCATTTAATTATTCAACAAATCTCTTACAATTTATTGAAAAAATTAAATGCAAATTGAAAGTTATCTATTTTCTGTCTAAGTGAGTTGCAACTTAAGCAGTTGCCTAGGCGGGTGTAGGCAGGTGCCTAGGCAGTCTAGACGGGCGCCTCAGTTGGTCTAAGCGCCATTTCTTAATTTTCAAATGCCTAGACATTAATCGGGGGAGTGACCAGTCACCTGTCGCTTAGGCGGGACCTAGGCAATGCTAGGCGGAGATTTTTATAACAATGATCTGTAGTGGATAAATTTTCCTTTTGAGGAAAAACACTGGACGATGATTGGCTAATAAGTAATAACCAAAGTAAGGGCAGGAATGGGTTGGGGTTTTGAATATTTTTCCATGGGAATTTCATGCAACTTTTGTTCATATTTTGTTGAAGCTAGGTTTTTTGTTTACTCACATTATGTAACAGTTACATCGCACTTGATAAATTTTTTAGAGCATGTTTGGTATCCTTCTTGAATTCAATTTATTTTGTTTTCAAAACTAATCCCTAATTAAGAATGACATGTTTGTTATAATTTTCTACTGATAAAAAAAAAGGTGAAAATGCGTTTGGTAGACTGTTAAGAAAATAAACTCAAAAAACAAAAAAAAAACACAAAATAATATTCAACGTCAGCATCAAATTGAAGTTTTCTCTGTTTTTCAAAATTAGAGAAAATAAAATATACATTATGAAACTAAGTTGGAATTTTAATAAAAAGTGTAATTATGTATGCTACCGCTACTATCACTATCACCACCATCACCACCACAATATTCGTCACTGTCTCACCATCATTACTACTACCAACACCATCTTTGACTCTACAACCTCCCAACATCACCGCCACCACCACTACCTCCCACCATCACCGTCATCATCACATTCTCCACCCCATTACATTCATCATGGACACCACCACATCTCAACCACCATTTTAACAACCATCCAGCACAACCATTGTTAACACAACAATCATTTGCCTCCATCACAACCGTCGCTACCACCACTCCCTCCATCTAAACCCTACAATGGGATCCAATGTGAGCGTAACGATGCGACGTGAGCTTACACATGAAGCTCGTCCTAGCCTGAACGAGTATTATAGATGCCAGTATAAGCATGCATGATGAGCATATAAAGTATGTATGATCATGCATCGTAATTTCATAAATCTCAACATCATAAAAAAATAAAAAATAAAAAAATAAAAAAATAAAAACACTTGTATTTAACTAAAGTATGGCATAAGGTAAAAACTCTTCATCAAAGGTCGGTACAAAGGTCAATACACTGCATACTTAGGCCAACCTAGCGCACTGGTGGCTACCCATCATCTATCCTCCACCTAAAGCTCGAAAAATTACTCAGTTAGAATGATTCAACTCTTTGGAAGTAGAGAAACATGGCATAAAACGAATCCCTTCTCGATTGTTGTCTCAACCATTCCACCTCATGAAATTAATTTGGATTATCCCGAGACTTGAAGTTTTCCATTATGCGTGCATAGATTAGTTATAAAATTGAAATGATAATTGTCATCAATGATATTCAAGAATATGGTAGCTATTTGAAATAGTGAAAAGCAACAATATGAAAACATGATCCGTTGATGTAGTTAATGTAGAACTGATTGAACAACTTGAAAGAAACAATCCTGGTCGAATTAGATTCCTTACCAAAGAGTGTTTGAACCTCCTACACCACTCAATGAAACCTTGTCGTGTAAGTAGAAAAGAATAATGAGATGAATGAAATAGTGCAAAGCATGCCTTTTTGGTGCAAGGCTTCTCTCAAACACCCTATGATTGATTATGACGTGATGTATTCCTCCATAACGAAGGTCATAACGTTTAGCTACCTTATGAGTTTGGTAGTTTTTGAAGAACTGACAATGCAGCTTTTGAAAGTGGTTACAACATGTCTCTATGGGGATCATGAAATGTACATCTACATGAAAGTTCTGGAAGAACCTACATGGTCTATTTAAATAGTTCTAGACCATAGAACAACCTTTCGATTCGATTGAGGTGTTCACTTTACAAATTGAAACAATCCAAGTGGATTTGGTACACCTATCTAAGTGACTATTTGATCAGCGTAGAATATGTGAATAAAGTATGTCCTTGTATGTTGAAGTCATACTCCTAATTTGCTAGAGTTGTGGTCTATATCAATGACATGAATCTCAATTAGACTCCTGAAGAGATTGAGAAACTGCTACGCATCTGAAGTCAGAATTTAAGATGAAAGATCTTGGAAAAACTCGTTTCATTCTCAGCCTAAAGTTTGAGCATAGTTCAGACAATATTTTAGTCTACTAGTCTAACTACACCCAGAAGGTGTTATCCTTGAGTATACCCATGGTCGTCCATATGCTAGATGCAAAATGAGATTCCTAAAGAGGTTATGGAGCTTGAAGTTCCATATCTAAATGCGATTGGTGTTTATTGTACTTAGCTCAGTGAACTAGATCGGACATCTATTTCACTCATAATTTTTTGGTAAGATGCAGCACTACGTCTACATTCCACCACTGAATTGGTAATAAAAGACATTTTCCTTAGCATGGGTTTTGGCTTATTCTATTCTGATGCATATCAGAATAGATTACACCTTTGGTCTTCAAAATGATGCTTTCCTTGTTGTTTGCTAACGCTGGTTACTTATCTAACTAGGGAAAGGTATGTTCCCAGACGGATTATGTCTTTATCGTTAGAAACATCGTAATATCTTAGTTGCAACATATTCAAACCATGTGAAATCACCACCATGCATGAAGCCAAACTTGCACGTCAAAACTATTGTTTAGCATATTCGTAACACTTGTGGTTCTTCTTCCATCGTTGAGTCCCAATTACCATTCATGAGGACTACGCCACATGTATCCGACAAATCAAGAAATGATACATCAACAAACTCAACACCAAGCTATTGTGTCTACCTAGCATCAAAAGGTTGAAATCAAGCAAATTCGATCCCAATAAACCTTGCCGACCTCTTCACGAAGTCGTCGTTGAAATCAACCTTTCAAAAGCTTGTTCTAGGAATTGATATGCGTAACTATCTCATTTGCAATGCTTGCTATTCTCAGGGGGGGGGTTTGTCGAACTTAAGGGGGTATCGTGAAGTATACTCACTTGACCTTAACGTAATTTTTTCCCTCTCTCATTCTCTCTTTAAATTTATACAACATTCTTAATTTAGAGATATTACAAAAATTAATTGAAATAATGCATGAAATTGAATCAATGCTTGAGTTAAATGGCCAGTAGAGTGCAATTGAGAAAGCCTTGCCATTTGTATCTACATAAGGGTGGCCTGTTAAATTCATTTCCGGCCTATAACCGCGTTCTTACGCATCAACTGAGCTTTCCAAATCAGAGTCTCGCCGTGTCAACATCTCTCACAACTTCACATCAGCATAAACCATTGTAAACCGAAACCCTGAATCAGATCTAACCTTGATCCGATCCCACCATGTCTTGTTTATCTCTCTCTTTCTCTCCAACCTGCCAATGGATTTGACATCCTCCTTCAAACCTAAGAATGATTTTTGCCTGCCCAGGCCCTCGTCACCTTCTCATCCTTCCGCCAGACCCTCCTAGTTTTCGCCGCCGCCAAGCAACAACATCCCCACACCACCAAAGATAATTCTTACATCCACGCCGACTCTTCCTCCGATGCCACCGCTGACCCTATCACCTCCCTTAGTGACAGCCCACTTGTTGCCTCAAGTGGCCAGCTCATTGATAGATGCATATTTATGCGACTGAGTTAACTTGTTCTCATGCATTTATGTTGTTATTTCTTAGTTAATTATGTATTTTAAGCTATTTTCGTGTGTTTGTAGGTCCATAGGCCTTATGAAGCAATAAGATGCATTTTGGTGCATTTTGGAGCAGTTTTGGGCTTGGAATGAATAGCACATGCATGGAGCAAGGTGGATGGACGAAATTGAAGACTAAAGAGGCTAGGAATGTGTTAAAGAGAAAGAAGAATTAATGTAAAAAGGACAAAGAGTTCAGCCACAAAGGGGTGTCACTCCACCATTCACCTTTCCATTATTGCCGTGCACCACCATTGCACTCCATTTGGATTCCTATGCCGTGCATCATCATCCATGTTCCCTTCATTGACTCATTTGTTGCATCATTCCACTTCCTTTCCTTTGTCTACCATGTGCACAATATCCTTTCACCTCCTTGCACTCATTGATTCACCACTTACTCACCTTTTCACCCATGCCATGCATAATCTCCCTTGTCCCCTTCATTATTTCAGATTTCATGCATCATTACATTGAATCATTGCACTCAATTGGTACACCATTCCTTGTTCCCTCCATCATTTCAGATTCATGAATCATTACATTGAATCATTGCACTCAATTGCTACACCATTCGTTGTTCCTTCCACCATTTCAGATTTCATGCATCATTACATTGAATCATTGCACTCAATTGCTACACCACTCCATCTTCCCCTCCATTGCCATGCACTTCCTTTATAAAAGGAAGTGTGTGTAACATAAATGGATTCATACTTTGTTAGATCATTCACTCCCATTTCAACACAACCTTCATCCAAACACATCAATTCATCTTCACATCCATTCCTCCATACAAGCAAACCTTTAAACACTCACCAACACCTTGTGCCGTAGCAAAGGAAGGGAAGGAAAGTGCTTGGACGTGCTTGCTGTCCAACTTGGATCGTTGGAGCGTTTAGGTGTTTTCTTTCTTTTGTTTCTAATGTTTAAATTCATTTCCTTTCGTTTGTTGTAAATATGAGTGGCTAAACTGTTGGAAATGTGCCCTAAAACCAATCATATGATGATACTTTACGGACATTTCACATGTTAAACTAATCTAGTTTAATATCAAGGGCAAAGATTATTGTTTGAGCCGTCTCATATAAATGTTATATGCTTAAACGATAAGTCCAAGGAATATGTGATTGGGAGAATGCAATCTAAAGAAGTTAGATTCATGAGACCATTCTTTCGTAGACACATCCTAAACGTTCCTGATCATAGGATTGCCAATTGGGCATTGACAGTCCGTTAAGATCAGTACGTGCTGTGTCTTCTCTCAGGGAGAGTGACTAGTCTCGAGTCATTGGTGTGTGTGACATCAAGACAAGTACGTAGGTGCTCAATAGAGAATGAGTTCACTGAACACGATCAACGAAGAGTTCTCATATTCATGTCACATGAGAACTCATGGTTGGGATAATGCAAAGTAGTCCTTTGACCTGAGGCATCATAGTTGTCTTGTGGTTAAGTCCTTGATCTTTGATTATGTCAAAGTCACTCCATCAGGAGGGTGTCCACGACATAGTTGGGGTTAAGCCACTTAGCTATGAAGGCAAGTGAATGCGCAACAAGGGATCTCTAACCTTCAAACCGTTTGAGGGAGAATACTCTATGATATGATTAAGAATCTCTGGCCAGAATATGAATGCGATTTAGGAAAGTCGTTCCAAATCACATTCAAGGTAATCATATAAGCACACGAATTACATTGGATAGTAGACATGAATAAACTATCAAACCAAACAATGTGGTCAAGAGTATTGTATTAGAGAAAGACCGTATTGCATTTGTAATCCTAAACTGAATAGGTTCTCTACCTCTTCTGATTAGCTTGGGTAACCATGATATGCTGCTAGGTGTCACTCTTGGTTTGTGGAAGCCCTAAACGTGTATAAACACTAAAGGGAGAATTGAAAGTAAGTTTCAATTCACAATCGATTTGAAAGAGTTTTAATCGCCCACTGCCTCGCTAAAAGGAACCTACTGGATAGTACACCGTGTAAGGTAGAGATTGAAGAAACAATGGAGATAAGTAAGAATAATTAAATGGTTTAATTATTTATGGCAAGGATTAATTAATATGTTAATTAATCAAACGAATAAGTTCGTTAAAGACCTCGGGATAGTTTTGGACCTTAAGGCCCAATGGGCTTCGAACGTCAAGCCCATTGACTTAAGTTGTATGACAATTTAATGAATAAAGATTCACAAAGGCCCAAAAGCCCAAATCCCTTATGTGGCCGGCCATGTGTGTTGAATTAGGGTTTTTTTTTTTTGGTTCTTTAGGTCATTTAAGAAGTGACTATATAAAGAACTTTATAGCCTAAAATTCATAAAGGGTTTCTTTTAGGAAATTGGAGAGAACACAAAGCTCTCCTTTCTCTCTAAAGAGGCCGCCCCCCTTGGAGGGATTAGCTAGCAATCCCACTCCTCCAAGGTCACTCATTTCTTCTCCAATCTAACCTTGGTGTAGACACTTAGAGGTTCTCAATTTTGGGAACTTGGAGAACCATATTCTTCCATCCAAATCCATGGATCTAAGAAGCAAGGAATGAAGGCCCTCTCTTTGGGTGATTAGCCTTTGCTTATGCAAAAAGGAATCTACAAAGGTATAAATTTCTCAACTCACTTTGATTTGAGTTGAGTCTTGGTTCACCAATCTACTAGGCTTTGAATTTCATGGGTAATGTTTTGTTTTTGAATGCATGCAAGCATGATTCCGCCTTTTAATTGTTAAATGCATGCTATAGATGTTATTCAAATGAACATGTTTTCACAAAATCATCCTTCATAAACCCCTCTTGGCTAGGGGTGATTTCAAAGTCATGATTATGTGTGCAATATAATTTGATAAATTCCAGTTATGAACTCTTGAATCGTGAATGCAATTGGCTTAACTATTTGATTGATAACTTATTTGTATTTGTTAATTAAGGGTCGACACTTAATTGACATGCATAAATCCGTTGCTAGAATATAAGGAAGTTTCACATAATCGTTACAAACTTATATTCACATATAGTGAAGGTCGCTTATAAACGATCGCGTTAAGTTCAATTCCTAGCATGAGTGACATGATGTCTAGTTGCAAGTGCTTTGTCAATGCTTATGATTTTCATTAAACGTAATGATCTTTGATTGTATCTCTATTATGATGTCATGTAGGGAACTTTAGAAGAATGTTTTGGGTTGTCGAATGATGTCATCCAATCCAATAAAACAAGGAAAATCTGAGAGTTAACTAGTGATGTCACGGTTAATTTGGAGCATTGTCGTTCATAATTCAATGAAGTAGTAACTGGAAATTGAGTTGTTTGCATACATATCATGTGTGGAGAAAAAGCCTCTACTATCCCATCCATCATCTTATTTCTCAAATTTGTTTTACAATCTGTCTAGTTTTTCATACATGTTTGTTTGTTTCAACTTCATCCAAATCAAAACCCCTCCTTTTAGTTTCTTGTTTCAAAGTGTTTCAAATCTGTTTTAGTTTGTGTTTTTAAGTGTTTTGATTCAAGTAATAGTCAATTTTCGTCCAAAGTCATTCCTAGTGTCTAGTTTAAGTTTATTTGATTGTTTTAAGCTGTTTTGAGTATTGTAAGTTTGCTTTGAGTTTTGTAAGTATTGTTAAGTGTTTTTAAGTTTAGTTTTATGTTTTTGAGTCAGTTTAGAGGTTATTAGCAAGCCCTCATAATCCCCGGTCTAGAACGATCCCTACTTATACTTGTACTACAATTGTCAAAAGAGGGTTAAATTTGTGTGTTAAGTTAATTTTCGCATCACTCGTCGTGGGGGTTGAATCTCGGTATATATTGGGTCGTCTACCGTCTAGTCAAGTCTATCTACGTCCTCGACGTCACCATCGTCGATCACGACAACTTGATCAACATTTTTGAGTGCATCCACATCGTCAACCAGGCCGTCAGTGTCATCGTCACTACTTGTCGCAGCAACGATGTTACTCAAAAAAAGCTGAGTCGAAAGTACGCCGAGATCTACATGGCTCTCAACATTGTTCTGAGAGGTATTAGTAATATTTGATTGGCGGTGATGCTTTCGTCGATGCACGGTAATGGCATTGCCAAGATGGTGCACTCGGCGTTGGACACCGATAACAAGAACTGTGGGCGGAGAATTTGAGGGCGGTGAAGGCGCTTTCAGTCGAACATGAGGCGGGCATTGTGGCTTTCAACAATTTAGGGTTTGAATTGCTGCTAGAGACGATCACGGCTGGGTGAGGTGGCGACAAGCTTGGCACTGGTGGTACAGATTGAGGAGGAGGATCAAAAGTTGGAGAATGAGGAAGAAAGCCAAGCTGAGAATGATCTATTTGCGGCGAACAAGAAGATTAATCAGCCTGAAGAGCTGGTAAGTGGGTTTAATAAGAACAAGGATCATTCTGCCATAGACTTAACAATGGCGTTGGCGACGCTTGAAGTGATGACATTGCCTCCGGCAGAGGCGACCCAGAGTACCCATATTGCGGTGGAAGGGTTTGAAGGGCAGTATGGTGGTATTGAGTTTGGGAATGACCAAGCTTCATCGGGTGAGACTTTTGATAGGTTTAGTGATGCCTAGGGCGGTGGCTTGGATGCTTCTGAGTTTGTTGGATCAAAGAAGGTTGCGAAGAAAGAAGGGCTTGGCGGGCTTGAATTGTTGCAGACCAAGCCAAATGCTCCGAAAACTGCAGATGCAGCTACCGGTGGTGCAGCAGCAGGTACTCCTCTTGACACCCTTGTGAAAAGTGAAATGAAGGGTCTTGAGATGCACATTGTTGAAGAGATCAGTGCTGAGTTTAGAGAGACATTGGTTGCTATAGTAGGATTATTGGGTGTTGTTTATTTAAAGACTTTGCCAACCATTACTGGTGGTGATAAAGAAAATGAGTTTTCTTTCCAGGGAATGGGTTGTTTCATATGAGGATCGCAACCTCTGATGAGCCTTTACCCATTTTGAAGTATAGTTTGGTGCTTAAGTTGACGCCATTGCCCTTGAGGGTTTGTCTTATGCAACGGCATACAAGGAGCTTACTATATGTGATGATACAATATGTGTCAAACCCTGAGTTGCCAGCACCTTTAACTGATGTGACATTTGTTTTGAAACTCCCACTTGATCTTACATTGTTGAAGGTATCACCCAAAGCTGTATTAAGTAGGTTTGACAAAGAATTGAAATGGCATATCCTCGAGATTCCGTTGAATGGATCTCCTGGTCGGTTGAGGGCAAGGATACCTATGGATTCTAATGAAGGAAATGGCAGTGAAGAGCGGTGTTTGTTTGCGGCCAGCTTTTGAGGGTAATATAGACTTTTATGAGGTTAATCGCAGGTATGAGAGCGGTGTATACATGTGCAATTGACCCATGATGAAATCATTGTTGCATTGTTAAGCTTAAGGGTTGTGTCTCCTTTTTTGTTGTTTATTTCGAGAGATTGTTGTTGATTGTATGTTGTTGTACCATTCTTTGATAATGAGCTTGTACCATAGTTTATTGGCCATTTGAAAGCTCTATCTTTGTGCATTGGCTATTCATTTGTGTGAAGGGATAACAAGTTTCTCTTCCATGCTCTCTTTCCTTGTTTTGGTTTATTAATTTTACTACCTTGTGAAATTGTAGGTTGAAATACAATGATAGAAACAAGCTTTATTGGCCAATAATTAATCAAAAAAATCAAATTGGAATGAACCTTATACTTTAACTGAGATATTCTGATCAAGGAATCATTAAGACTCGACTGATAGAATCTTAGACTTTACCAGTGATATTCACAAACTCGGTGCTGTAAATGGTGAGTAAGTTGAGAACCATCAAAAGTTATGTTTGTAGAGGTTCTGTTTACTTGTTATTTGATACATGACTTTTTCAACTTTAAATTGTGCAATGTTATTTATTTGTTTCTTTTTTTTGGCAAGACATCAATGCCTGAGGCTTTCATGGAACAATTGGATTCCTTTTGTATTCCAATTTATGTGAATTTGTGAACATAATGACAAAATCATATACACCTCTTTCTAGGTCAAATTGATTTACTTCAATCTTGATAATTTGAGCTTCAAAGTTGAAAATATAGACGGCTCTTATGCATCTTTGTGTACCGTGTTTTCATATAGTTCCCCAATGGTTTGATTATTCGTTGTGTTTAGAAATAAAAAGATGAAAGAGATAGACTTCGTGTTGGAATCCAATTTGTCCTATATTGGCTAGAGGGAAAGGAGAAGAAGAGTTTAAATAGAATTACCCCACTCTAACTAACCATGAGACCTTTTGTGATAAAACCCCACACCTGATGGATTGGGTAGATGCTAAAGTGGGGATAGTATCCGTGTTGTTGGAGTGGCCTTCGGCTCGTCAATCTAAAAAATTCTACATGGTATCAAACCCAAGGGACATGCTCGTATTGCCACATGATTTGGTCCTTTGGCTCCGCACGATGGGTGAGTCCCAACATGGCTCCACGTAGGCCAAAGATACCACAAGATTGGGTGGGTCCCTGTTTGGCCCCTCGTGTTAGGTAAGCCTCGACTTGGCTCCACGTGGTTGCCAATGTGTGGATCTCCACGTGTGACCCACCACATAGGGTCTCACGTGTGGGGGCCTGTTGGAATCTCATTTGTCCCACATCGGCTACATGGAAATGAGAAGAAAAGTTTAAATAGAATTATCCCACTCTAACTAACACCGAGGCCTTTTGTGATAAAATCCCACACTTGACTAATTGAGCATGTGGTAAAGTGGGGATAGTATCAGTGTTATTGGAGTGAGCCCTCGGCCCGTCGATCTGAAAAGTTCTACATGGTATCAGAGCCAAGGGACAAGCTTGTACGCCACGTGATTTGGTGGGTCCCCTTTGGCCATGCGCGATGGGTGAGTCCCGATATGGCTCCACATAGGCCAAGGATGCCAAGTGATTGGGTGGGTCCTCGTTTGACGCCATGTGTTGGTGAGCCCCGACTTGGCTCCACGTGGTTGCCGATATGTGGATCTCCACGTGTGACCCACAAAATGGGGTCCCACGTGCAGGGACATGTTTGAATCCCATTTGTCCCACATCGGCTAGTAATGCGTATAATATAAGCACACAAATTAAACCCTCTTTTGATAATTGTAGCAAAGTATGTAAGTAGGGATCGTTCTAAACCGGGGATTAGGAGGGCTTGCTAAAACCTCTAAACTGACTCAAAAACAAAAAAAAACAAAGTTAAAAATGTAAACAAAAGACTTTAAAACAAGAAAGTAAAAGGGGGATTTGGGTTTGGTGAAGTTGAAAGTAAAACAAATAAACTAAAACTTAAATAGATTTTTAGCTAGGCAGATTGTAAAACAAATTTGAGAAATAAGATGATGGATGGATTAGTTAGAGGTCCGTTCTTCACACATGACACACTTGTACATGAATCGATTTCCAATTGCTTTTCAATAAACTATGATGCTCAACACCCCAGATTGACCGTGATGCACAAATTAACCCTCAGATTTTCCTTTACTTATTGAATTGGATGAATGCATGCGACAATCCAAATTATTCTCTAAAAGTCCCCTATATGAATGCATAATAGAGATACAATCAGAGATCATTACGTTCAATGAAAATCATAAGTGTTGACGAGGCAATTGTAACTATGAATGCATGATACGTTTGCCAAGAATTCAATTAACGCGATTGTGACAAGCAACCTTCACTACTCATGAATATAAACTTGTAACAATTAGGTAAAACTCATTTATATTCTAGCATCTAATTTATGTATGAAAACTAAGTATGCATCCTTAATAAACATACAAGAATCAGTTATGAAGAAAATAGATAATTGAATTGCAATCACAACTTATCAAATCACAATTGGAAGAAATCAATTCATATCACAAGCATGTTCATGGCTTCAAACTTCCCCCTAACTAAATAGGGGTTTAGTTCCTCATGTTCACAAAACAAAGATAAACAGAATTATAAAAAGAAAGAAAACACCTAAACGTTCCAACGATCCATGTTGGATAGCAAGCACGTACAAGAACTTTCCTCTTCTTCTTTGCTGCAACACAAGGTTGGAGTGATGTTTTGAAGGGTTGGTTATGTGGAGGAATGGATGGGAAGGAGTTTAGATATGTAGGGAGAGGCAAGGCAAGGCTTGGAGAATGGTTAATTTCTGGATGCCTTCAATGAGGCTGCTGCCATGGGTATTTATAGGGAGAGGATGGACTTGTTTAATTCAATTTTCTGGTGGAAAACAAGTAGGTGACACATGGCATTGAAGTGGAGAATAATGGTGGGTTAGGTCTTGAATCATCCACTCAATTTCTGTGCACAATCTACTCATTTTCTGTTGAGTTGGGGATGAATCATCCACTCAAATGTCATGGTGAGTTAGGCATTGCATCATCTCAAATGTCATGGTGAGTTAGGCATTGCATCATCACTCAAATTTCTGGTGGAAAGCAACAAGGATGTGAATTTCTGTGATTTTAGGGATGAATCATCTACTCAATTTCCTAGTGGGTTAGGTATTGAACAATCACTCAAATTTCTGGTGGAAGTGAGTCAATACCCACGGCATTGATGAATTCTGGGGTAGGCATGGTTTTGAGTGAAATTTTGGTCAATCCTTCTAGAAACCTATCCCTTCTTGCAACTTGTATTTGTTTCACCAGATTTTTAGCATGGTCCTAGCCTCTTTTGACTTCAAATTCGTCCAAACTCCTTGCTCCATGCATATGCACTTCATTCCAAGCCCAATTTTGCTCCTAAAAGCTCCAAAATGCTCATTTTTGCATACTTTGACAATAAAACCTGAAATTGCACGAAAATGACTTTAAACACTAAACTAACTAAGGAAAAACCATAAATGCATGAGAACAAGCCAATTAAGTCGCATAAAAATGCTCCTATCAAATTCCCCCACACTTAGCTTTTGCTAGTCCTCGAGCAAAACAAAGAAATAAAACAAAATAAAACCAACAAACATAACCTAAACCTTCCAACGTTTGCCTCAGGGATTTCCAATGCACATGACATGTTAAAGATTATCATTCCCACAGATTTGAGTGAATTTAACACTTAAGCACATACTTAATCATAGTCACTACTTACTAGTTCACAATTAACCAATTAAAACAATGTTTTGAATGTAGTAACATGCCTTAGAGAATTCCCTCAATCCTTACAAGATATGCACTCTATTTTCACTCAGATTTTCTAACTACACACCCTATACTAGTTATATGTGAGAGAATTGATGTACATATAAAAACGAATGCTCACATATATGTATCACAAAGAACGCAATTTCCGGAGTTAACAAGCATGTTTAGATATGATCTCATGAATGGAATGCTACTACTTAGATGCGAGAACCAGTGACACCATATGCTTATACCAAATTCAAACTCCACAAATTGAAACACATAACACTCAAGATAGAAGTTAAGGGTTGCAACGGGGCTTGGGGTATTGGTTAACAAAGAAAGGATAGGGAAAACAAACGTTCTTCAAGCATTAATACGCAAAGTAATGAAATTAAAACTTAGAATTCACTTAGATTGTAGAAATTAACTTTAAAACACAAAGGGAAGACTTAGACAACTCCTTAGGGTCGAATTCATTGTTTTGGACCCTTACTTCAACAAACAATACTTTGGACACTTTTTCACATCTTTTCAACTCTTTTTTTTTTCATACTTTTCATATTTTTTTCTTTATTTTATTTTATTTTATTTTTCTTTTTCCACGAATATATATATATATATATATTTTTTTTTTCTTTTTCTTTTCTTTCTACCCGTGCCTATGGCACACAATTGACAAAATAAAAACTTCCCCCACACTTGGTTTCTGCCACAAAGGAATTCAATTTGAATGATGCTTACTATACTTTAAGAACGAGGGTATGGATAGTCCTAATCTAGGCTAGGTGAGGGTAATGTGGGTTAACAAAGAAAAGGCTAAACAAGGCTCAATGGGGTTAACACCTACAAAACATAATGACATAGGGATTCACGGCTTTTTGGCTAAGGTGGTGGTCACTACACAACTTTATCTTGAATATGTGTTATGTTAATCAATAACATGCTTTGAATGAAATGGGCATGAGTTCTAGCATTTGGAACTAAATGATGAAACGCCTTCTAAGTAGTAACCAAGCAAAGAATAATGAGATCATGCAACGACTTAGAAAACAATAATGCACAGATTTTCAACTCTCCAAATAACGTTTAGGCTCAAGTCTCACAAGGTTGTAGCGTTTGTTTGAGTTCCTTCCTTCAAGCATGTTACAAAAACTAATTTTTCCTTTATGATTGCATGTGAATTCATAAATTATAACCACAACCAAGCATACACCAAAGAGTAAATCAAATGTTCATCC